CTCTCCAGTAGCTCCTCATCTTTCTTGAACTGGGGAGCCCAGCACTGGACACAGCACCGCAGATGGGGCCTCACTAGGGCAGAGCAGAGAGGAAGGAGAACCTCCCTCGACCTGCTGGCCACACTCCTCTGATGCCATCAGAAAGCCCATTTTCCTATCGCTGAGCCTTCCACAGCTGCAGGGATGCTATCTGGGACCCACAGAGCTCCAGTCCTCCTGCATCTCCAGTCCCAAGCTCTGCAGACATTTCACCCTGCTGCTGGATGCTGCCTGGCCTGCTGTCAACATATCTGGGCTTGGTTTAAAAGCCCTGATCTTGCAGATCTTTATTGCATGCAAACATCCCGCTGGCCTTGCGTACAGACGCGCCTGCGCCCTGCTTGCGGGTCAAGGCCCAGATCTGTACGTCGGGAGAGCACCGGCGACTCGCTCCGCCCGCTCCGGTGTGACAAACCCTCCGTCACACAGCCTCAGCAGTGGTCTGAGCTCCTGCAGGCATTCAGGCAACAATATTAGTATTTCTTCACCCAAGATTTATAGCTCTTTTCTAGCCTGTCATTATTTTCAGCCTAAAAGGACCTTTAGCTCATGGCTCAAGCCCTCCGTCAGCCTCAAGTGGCACCTCAGCCGTGCCATTTGTGCCTCCTGCACCATTTAAAGGCAGGAATTGGCTCGTCCCTCTGACAAAAACCACAAGCTCAGCTTCTGTCACAAACTCTGTAAGTCTGTTTCCCTTTGAACAAGTGGCCCAATTGTACACCGGCGGCCTCAGGTCTCCAAGGGGCTCGTTCCTGTCTTTCGCTGCCTGAAATGAAACCAGGCTCTGGCCTGGACCCACGCCCAAACCATGCACTACCTCCTAATTAATCCCTTTCTCTGGGGCCCAAACGAGATTTCAGCTTTATTGCACCACTTCTGAGCACTCCACCGAGTGCTGCAGTGGAGGCACACACTGTCACCAGTATGAGAATCACACACGTCCCTCGGTCCCCAAAACCACAGACCAGGCATCGTGTGAAACGCCCATGCTCACCATACCTCCGGGAGTACGTGGCCCTAGGAGGCCACACCTGGAGACAAGAGCAGTTTAAATTTTTGACCACAAGTTGCCCAATACCCCACCGGCACTCAGAGAGATGCCTGGGAATGGAGGAATTACATGGGACGCATTGCTAGATCTCAGTAGTCACAGAATCCCAGCATGGCAGGGTTGGAAGGGACCTCTGTGGGTCACCCAGCCCAACCCCCTGCCCAAGCAGGGTCACCCAGAGCAGGCTGCACAGCACCGCGGCCAGGCGGGGCTTGAAGATCTCCAGAGAAGGAGACTCCACAGCCTCCCTGGGCAGCCTGGGCCAGGGCTCCATCACCCTCAGAGGGAAGAAGTTCTTCCTCGGGTTCAGCTGGAGCTTCCTCTGCTCCAGTTTGTGCCCGTTGCCCCTTGTCCTGTCGCTGGGCACCACTGGGAAGAGCCTGGCCCCGTCCTCCTGACCCCCCCCTG